TCCAACACCTCACCCCCCCTCGGAATGGGATATAAATACAGGTCCACCGTCCCTAATTGAGGTTACTAAGGCTGTCACTAGTCTGAAACGGGACAGAGCAGCAGGACCTGATGGAATGGCTCCAGGGGTATTTAATTACGGTGGAGACAGTTTACAGTCTGTGTTAACTAAGGTACTAGGCAGTGTCTGGTAATCAGAGGAAGTCTCGACATACAAGAAGGAAGGTAAGTCTTCTTGTGACAACCACGGGGGGATTAGCTTGACTTATATGGTATCCAAAGTTCTTGGCTCAACAATAATACGTAGACAAAGCGGTGTTCGGGAGGAACAAACATGAGAGAACCAGGCAGGCTTTAGACCAGGGAAAGGGTTTACTGATCATATCTTCACCCTTCGACAGATTCTGGAACATAGGCATACTTACCGGCGTCTAACAATCGTCATATTGCTTGACCTAAAGGCGGCATTCGATTCTGTCGACCGAGAGGTACTATGGCGATGCTTGGCTGTAAAGGGATACATTGCACTGATCAAGGCACTCTACTCGAACTCATGCATCCAGGTGAGGGCTTACGGCGAGTTGTCATCTGAAGTGGTCACAACTAGTGATGTTCGTCAGGGATGCCCACTATCCCCATTCCTAACTCACTTCAACGATTCAGGGATTGACTTGTTACCAGGATATAATCTCGTTGACTTTGAATATGCAGATGGCATACTCCTTCTAGGTGAAGACGCTGACAAAACCGAGCAGAGTCTTCTCAACGCCTCGAGCTGCAATCTTCGAATGTTTGGCATTCGACTCGCTCCCACCAAATGTAAGATGATGTTACAGGACTTGACTACGCCAAGTTCTAGCTTAGAAATAGGGAGTAAAGTGGTAGGCACGTTGACCGCTTCACTTATTTGGGAAGTTGCATCAGCCCCAACGGATTGATCGCCGACGAAATCTTAGCACGGATACATAAGGCTCGTTTCGTATATGCCAGTTTACGCCGTCTCTGGCGTAAACGTGATATCCGGCTATCGACCAAAGGACGTGTGTACTGCTCAACAGTCCTCTCTGTCTTCCCTTATGGCTGTGAGTGAGATCTGGCCATTGAGAGTGGAAGAAATGAAAGGCTAGCTGTCTTTGATCATAGGTGCCTGCGTTCTACCTCCCGTGTTAGGTAGTGTAATAAGGTGAGAAATATTGATGTTAGGCGTCGAATGCTGGGTAAGGAGGGGGAAATCAATAAACGAGGCCGTGAAGCTACATCGACTGAGATGGTTAGGACATGTGTTACGTATGCCCAGCCATCGCTTCCCTCGACGGGAAATCTTAGTTGACATAGGGTCAGGCTAGAAAAGAGCTAGTGGTGGTCAAACCAAAACATGGCATCAGTCAATGAAACCGATGACAGTTAGTTTAAGCCACGTAGGAAGGTGTAGACTTTCTGGTTGGGCTCCTCGGGATAGAAAAAACCAATGGCTGGTGATATGCCTCAAAGTCGTTCTTAATGGCTGGCGCAGATAAAACCTTTTCCTTCACGTTCCCAAGGGAACATAGGGCTTCAAGCTAGTGACTTGAAGTTTCTGTAGCAGTGTTTGGTTTTACAGGACGGGGTTGCTAGCCTCATGCCCAACCTTTCCTCTTTACCAGCATTATTTCTGGCTTAGTGAGGTAAAGGGGTGCGTCTGTGGCCAGGGATCGAACCCGGACCATGTGTTTGGTCGGCGAGCGTCCCAACCGCTGTGCCATCGACGCACTGAACCTTGAGATAGACACGTATAAATTTTGCTACAAAGTATGAAGAACATGTGGAGTGTGTTGGTTTCACAAAATGCTCACAAATACTTACATATAAGGAGTACATAACGGGTTATTTGTGAACTTGAATTACTCATTTATATTTAGATTCAATCAACAGGAAACCATAGTCTAAGATTTTAAAAGTCATCAAGATATATTTAAGTAAAAAGAGGTAGCGATATCAGCAAACCACAGTCTAAAATTATTTAAAGGAAAACATGAAGGTATAGAGCGTTTTCAACTTTGTTACTGACAGGATGGGAACCTACTGGATCGATTTAGTGTTTATATTGGAAACATGGTATATATTCGTTGTATCATGGCAGGAATAGGCAGATTCCATGCCAGAAACCAAACATTGAGAAATAAACATCGCCATAGTATCAACGTGAAAAGTGTCAACCTGATATGTACACTTCTAAGAATTACTCCATCAATCTATAGCATAAGGTTTGCTGTGCTAGTTGCTGACAAAAATTTGGCTTACTGTTTCATTCCTGTTCACGAAAGGATATTTGATTACTTATTAGAATGGTAGCGCATTCAAGAATATCATGTTGTGTATTACTCCATGACTGTAAGAAACAGCCAATGAACTTGAATACAGATTTTCGACCGAAGGAGTGTGTTTATTGTATGAATTGTACTTGTGTAATAAACCTAGTGATTAAATGCACTTATTCTAGATGTTGTAAGTTAATACACCTGTCTTTCAACCAACTCGTCTGGTAAAGAGGATCTTAACATACCGGTGATTCATTGACTAGTGGCTGGCGCAGATGCCAATACCCAATAAAACTATATAGTTTTTTGATATTACTATTCTTTTTGCTTCATATCCTTGTTGACTGTCTCTATTTGCATTTCTTCTACTGTCGTCTCCGGGTTTGTGTGCTGCACAGAGTGTGGCGACTTGAACTGATGCATATTGTAGCAAAGATCTATGTTGAAACCAGTTATTCAGTTAAATCTATCGATGAATATATCTGTTAATATGCTTATCAGTTCTTATTCGGACAATTGAAGTATGAATCACTTTTTGTCATAAAATAGTCGATGGTCTTCGTCAAATGCTCCTAAGCTTAATCACTCTATATGGCACGAGCTTAACTTAACCTTCAGATGCAAGTGTGAGTTACGTGATCTGGTTAGTTGACACACTTCCGCTATCATTAACAGTATTGAATTTGAAACTAAATCGAATGTTTAATAACTTAGACTGTATATTTCGTCGGTTCTTTCCTGGTCTTTCCACATCATGTTAGTTTCCAGAATGATATTTCATTTGACGTTTTACGTAAGGAAGTTAAGACGAACTGGAACCATTCCGTCTCCACTGTTACCGTTTGTTGATTCTTGTATTCTGCCTATTCTTCTCCATTGCTTTCCATTAATTTTCCCCGGGCTACTTTAGAAAAACGGTGTTATATTGAGTAGGGCACTAAAAGCCGTCAATATGGCGATTTAGATGTTGCTAAACCAAGTCGGTGATGCTGTTGTAGATGGACGCATTGATTCCTGCAAAAAATTAGCTAATATTATCTTGTCAGACTCTGAGTATCCTCTCTATGCTTAACTTTCTCCTTACATCTCATCGGATATAACTAAAAGCAACTGTAGAAGATTGTTTACTCGAACGCCTAAGTACAAGTACTTTACAACTCCTTATTTGGCAGGTACACATTTTGTATGATGAGGGAAGTGTAAGCTGAAAATTACCAACTTACTGTGGAACTCTAAGTGAACGTTCCCATTTTTTCTCATTTTATACTGCTGTAAATATTTTCACCTAGTTTAATCTTTTATTCATTTCTTATTGAACAATACTATCAGTATGAATGCCCTATTGTATTTATTACCCGTGTAATGAGAAAATCAGATGGAATATTGTATTATTACGTGCTGAAAATTCCATATTTGTACCAAAATCACTGTGACGAATAAAGTTATCTTTCTATAGTTTGGTTTGTAAGGATTAGTTCTCAAACTGATATCAATTCGTGATCAACTCGTAAAACATAACTAATCCTTACAAACCAAACTATACAAAGTTAATCTGATGCTCGCTAGTGACTTGCTACAGGTTGGAGTTTCCTGAGTTCTAGTGAGAAGTCGTGACCAGTGAGGTCCAATTAGATGTCACGTGTGTGGATGGATGTCCCACCAACGACAATGGTTGGGGTCGCGCTAAATCACGAATTGGTAGAAGTTAGAATTCACGAGCCATTGAACCGGGTCCCAGTGGCTGAATGGTATACGAGCTTGCCTTGTAACCGGAAGGTCCTGGGTTCGAATTCCAGTGGGTGCATACTGCCGATGATTCCCAAACTAGGATGAAAGAGCAGCTGTCCAGTACTCCCTGGTTTTCAATGGTTCTCTAACTGATATCAATCCGTGATCAACTCGAGAATAAAGTTATTATTATTATTGTTTAGATAGGTGGTGCCAACTGAAATGATCTCTTTCATGTTTTTTAAATGTTGCTTCTTTACATTTTACATTAGAAAAGTAAAGGTGTAATTATTCATCAACTTTCAGTTTTTCATATTTCTTTTAAAAAAAAGACTTCCTTAATATAATATCTAAGTGAAACTCTCATTTAAGATTTTTAAGGCTGAAACGAATCCACTGAGTGATGGAACTTAGATGGATCCTTACAGATGTGTGTGGAAGAGGGCAGATAAATGGGCAAATATATCTTGCAAATAACATTAATTAAAAACAATTATATTTTCAGATGACCACGATTTCGTATTATAAATGTATACCTTAAGCAAAATTTTCTCGTTGACTATGTCTTAATCATTACTAATGTCGCACTATAGGATAACTTGTCATTTACATTAATTGAATGCCCAAATGTTCTAAAATCTGAAGGTTGTTTCTCCTCCCTGTTTTAAGTTATTGTTGTTTATGGTTGTTTTGTTTTCTGAATTCTTCTTCTTTTGGATTGTGTGCGTCGTTATTTATTCTTTGTAGTCTTGATCAATATGATGACTTGTCCGTGCTTTTCGTAATGTTAGAGTTATGTATATCTGTTGGTGTTCATTTGGCAATAAAGTTTGAGGTAGATCTGTAGAGTTGGTTAAATGACTTCCTATTATTATCTTTCACGTCAAAGCATTGATTTAGTTAAAAGTTGTAAATGAAATGAATCTTATTTATATATTGAACTGCAATAATTTTTTCGCTATTAATTTCTCTACAGTTGTGGAGATGGTGTTAACTGGCGTTGGCGTTTGAACCATTCTGTACAAAACAATAACTTAGAAGCTGGTAATGCGAGTTCACCTACGCCTTCAATGACAAAATTGCGCTGATACAAATTGAAAGAAGTGAAAATATAAGAAGTCACAATTCGGATTATACTGCTGTATCACACTCTCTAATTGATATATTTTTCTTCTATCTACTTCATTTTCTGAAATACACTATATATTGATTTCAACATACTTGATACCTTTATTTATGCGTGTATGCGTACATCTGGTTTATCATGTCAAAAGAGCTTGATGTTGTTAAAAGAAAGTACCTAACAGATTTTAAAAAGTCTATGAATGTATTTTATGTCTCTCTGTTTCTTATATATCACTCATTTGTTTTCTTTTTGTGCATGCCAGCCTACTTTCACAAGAGTAAGGTGAATTTAGACTTAACAATTATCCCAATACAATTTACTGTTGCTGTTTAAAATCTTCTAAAATTATCCTGATTGCAGGATTCTTTCATCTCTGTTTTATTCAGTCCCCATCTATGTTTGGTGTTCTTAAATTTTTGTGTTTAAGCATTTTTGATTTTTCAGCTGATATCATTTATTGTAGGAGAGTTGTTGTTGACTTCAGATGATTCACGTACATATCCTTCTCTGCAGATGAAATCGTGGAGAAAACAGTGTATCCATTATACACAAGGCTATTACAATTTACTAATCAGTTTGCTTTTCAGTAAGATCTATTATAATATCCACAATTACAGATAAGATTTTATTTTGATAAATCACACAGTGTTATACAGTAATAACACTGTAACACTGTGTGATTTATAAAAATAAAATATTACCTATAATGGAGTTATACTGTACCACAGTGGCCAAGTCTTATACTTATATCAATATCCATAATTATATGATAATTTCTTCTTAGAAGGCTTTTGTCTTTGGGTGTATTATGTCAGCGTTTATCGTGACATATTGAATCTAATTAACCAAGTTTGTTTAAGCTATGCATTACTTTTAAGGGTGTTTCAATATTTTTGTGCTTCATCTAACGCTAATCTTTTACTTTTTCATAGTATGTGGCACAAAATCAAGTTATTTTCACATAAATATCATAGAACACTTCGATTCTGTCTAATTGTATTGGCAAATGAGGTATCTTTTCGTTATTTTCCTGTCGCGTTTTGATGTTTTTCAAAACAATGTGTATTTCGATTTAGAACTCGATGTTAGTTAACATGTGAATGTAAAATCACTGATCTGAAAGGCCGAAATGAAACTGGTACATGTTTATAGCTGTACAACTTTGTTCCTTTTTAGAGGAAGTGATCAGACATTTATAAACCACTTTCTATGTGTTGTGTATTAGACAAGTTCTTATGTTCTAACAAATTCTCATAACTTGTCGTTAAAATAGTAGACATTAAACTCCTGGGCACCTTATATTCTGGATGAATAAACTTCTCTTCTTCACTACCTAAACTTCAGTCATGCAGCCGGTTACTTAATTAATATTAATATCTGTAGTTGTTGAAGCTGCTGCAGATGGAATGGTGTAGATCTTCTAACCTTTTGTGGTTGTGAAAAAGACCGATTTTCAAAGAAACCGTATTACATCTGAGTTGTTTTATGTACACCAACAGTTACATTGGAGTGAAAATGAACTGTGTATGTATCTACATCAATACTCCGTAGCGAATTTTGCACTATACAACTCTTTTACAAGTAATCTAAGCAGTTAAGTTTATATTTTTGAGTTGTGATCGTACTTCTGGTTTTCCCAGTATACCTGTTGAATAATTTGTGCATGCACGATGTTTGACTCTTTCGTGATATAACAAATATTTGTTTTTGTAAGCAATCTTTCCCAATAAGAGCTGCATTATTTTTATCGAGGTTAGTCCTTTTTTTTCCAGCAGCTATTAGAGACTTTCAATTTTCAATCAGATTTCATCCATCAGGCTTAACTCTAACATTTAACATTTCTTTTATATTTAATGGGCACGTAACCAAGAAAGTGTGTGTATTGCCTCGTGAATGTGCTTTTTCTATACGCGCTTCTCCAAGTGACCCATCTTCTTGCCTACTTAGCAAGACATCCAGAAAAAGTAGCTTAATATCCTGCTCCTCTTCACAGGTAAAAGTGAGCAAGGGGTGGACGTTGTTGAGTTTCATCAACAATTCGTTTAAGATAAATGTATCATTGGCATATCGGTAATACATATCAAACTCCTTGATTATGTCTTTCAATTTCCCGTTTTCAAGTTCTGCGAGAAAGAAGTAAGCTAATATTGGGCCTAATTTTGAACCCATAGATATTCCATCTGCTTGTTGGTGGTATGGATTATTGAAGTCAAAGTGAACATTCATTGTGCATTTTAGCAGTAATTCTTTGATGCTACACGAGGGAATACCTAAGTCCTATTGCTTTTCGGTGATTTCTTGACAAATCTAATCTACCGTTCCCATAAGTGGCACATGCGTGAATAGCGATGATACATCCATGGATAACAGGCGTCTATCCCTCACATTAGTCTCGGATATTTTAGAAATAAAGTCCAAGATATCACTAATTCTGTGTCGGTCGATTCCTCTGTGCAAAAGTCCCAGAACCTTCACTAACCACTTCACTGTTCCGTGAAATGGAAGGTTATCCATATTTAAAACAGTGCAAAGAGGAAGAACCGGTTTGTGCACTTTGGGTAGGCCGTAAAGACGTGAAGTATTGCTACCCGTTGGTTTCATAGACTCATGCATGGCTGATGGTAATAATCCTTTTTGGTTCAGTTTTTTGAGAGACTTGGTCATTAGTCTCTCAAGAGTTACACTAAGGTCTTTGGTACTACCAAGAAATTGGGATTTCGCTTGATCACTCAAAATACCTTCCATTCTCTCAACGTAATTTCTTATAATCGGTAAAACTACACCTGATAAAGGTGTAAAAACGATTACGTTGAGATGTTGGAAGGTATTTTGAGTGATAAAGCTAAATTCCTTGATGGAGATGGGCTATCCGAGTAGTTTCATATAGAAACATATGACAACATGAGAGAGAAAACCTGAAACTATGACTGCACGTAAAAACCTCTATTTATTAAGTCACAATTTAATGGTGGCTTGTCAAGAGACATTCCAGGAGTATACGAAGAACGTTTTACGCAGCCAACGAATGTTTGGGACGCAAACGAAAGATAAGCTAGATGGTTCTGCCACATCTATGTGCATTTATCAATTCAACTGCACCTGCAGTGATAGTTATGTTGGGCGTACTACTAGACAGCTTAGTCGACGTGTTGGTGAACATCTCCCATCGTGGTTTGGCAAAGGACAGACAAAAACAATCCGTAGCTCCATTTTGTCACATTTAGTTGATTGTGGTCACGTAGTGGAGAAGACGGAAACTTTAAAAGTAATTCATTGTATCTTGCCGAGTCCTTCCAACATACTTCGTATTCGTCTACCACACACAGCTGAGGTGATAGGCATTCGGACTGTTAAACCTAAACTATACATTCAAAAAAGTTCGTACAGTCATTATCCCTCCCTTGAACTATTCAGACATAACCAACTGATGACTTCTCCACCACCCCTCACTTATATTTTCCTTCCCTCTCTTATCATCCCGTAATCTTATCACATCTTCATTGAAGCGTATTTTATTTACTTCGCTTACAATCCAGATTTACGAAGGAGAACATGAAGCTTTGCTACTCTCTCTAGCTCCATCAATTCCTCCTTGAAAGCATACTCAAAGATTACAAAGTCTGAATTAAAGCAATTCAACCTTTTGCATCACAAATGAATTCTGTAACTGACGTGAGAACGGAATAAATTTCGTCAGTGAAGCATTTCACTGAAGGACTTCAAAGATATATGGTAAGATGTTCGATCAGCTTCAATAAAAATGCTTCATAAGGTTTCTATTACTCTTGCAGCAGCAATGGAACTAGATCAAAACAGAAGAAAGTTACTCAGCACTACGTCGCGAAATTGATGTAGTTGTATACACCACTGTATTATATTAGGAATTATTATTATTATTGTATCCTTTAATTCCTAGAGGAACATAGGGCTTCAGCCGCGCGTCTACATTGCGTTCGGTTTTCTGCCAACTTTTCACCCCGCTCCAAGTCTGCCCACATGCTTTCATCTCCTCTTCACATGACCTCCTCCAAGTCACTCTTGGACGACCAACTCGCCGCCTCCCTTTCGGGTTCCACTCGAGCGATGGCTTGTCTAGGGATGTCACTTGATGGTTTCCTCAGCGTGTGGCCAATCCATCTCCATTTATTCTTGCCTATTTGTTTCACAATCAGTTCCTGGTTGGTTCGCTCATTGCCAGAGATCCCTGTTGCTGATCTTTTCTGGCCGGCCATCTGATCTTGAGTATTGAGCGAAGACAGCTGTTAATGAAGGTCTGAAGTTTGTTTGAGGTGCTCTTTATGACTCGCCAAGTCTCTGATCCGTATAGAAGCACTGACTTTACATTGGAGTTGAAAATCCGGATCTTATTTTTGATTCTGAGTGCTGTTGACCTCCACACAGATTTGAGAGTAATGAAAGCTTGTCTTGCTTTTCCGATTCTGGCTTTGATATCCTCGTCAGTTCCGCCTGTAGTTGAAACGATGCTTCCCAGGTAGGTGAAGGAGGTTGTTTCTTTCAGGTTCCTCCCATTTATGCTGGCTGATTGTTGTCTGTTGTTGTTGTTGATGTTGGCCAGGAATCTTCATCACCTACCTCTGTTTTCTCTATGTTCACTTGAAGTCCTATCTTTGATGCTTCTTCTGCCAACTTGTTGCTTTTCACTTGCATATCTTCCAGTTTGTGGGAAATCAGACATATATCATCGGCGAAGTCCAGATCCTCCAAGTCTTTTGTGTCAGTCCATTTTATGCCTGTTCCCTCGTTGGTTGCCGTTGTCTGTCGCATTATCCAATCTACTGCAATCAGGAAGATCATTGGTGATAGTAGACAGCCTTGCCTCACTCCCGTCCTCACTTCGAAGGCTTCCGTAAGTTTCCTGTTGTGGATTACTTGGCATGCAGCAGTATCGTAAAACTGTTGGATGAGATGTATAATTGTCGATGGGACCCCGTAGTAGCGAAGTAGTTGCCAAATCACCTCTCGATCGACGCTGTCGAAGGCCTTTTCAAAGTCGATGAAGTTGAGATAGAGAGGTGACTGCCATTCCAAGCTTTGTTCAATGATGATCCGTAGAGTGGCGATTTGATCAATACATGATTTGTTTCTCCTGAATCCGGCCTGTTCCGGTCGAAGTTTTTCATCTAGGGCTTGTTTGATTCTCTCCAGGATGATGCGGCTTAGTATCTTGCTTGGAATGGACAGAAGCATAATTCCACGCCAGTTTTTACATTGACTTAAGTCTCCTTTCTTTGGTAGTTTGAATAAGTATCCGTTCTTCCAATCCTCGGGTACTTTGCCCTCTTTCCACACCTTCTCCAGCAGTGGCGTCATCAAGTCCGCTGTTGTCTCTGGGTCTATTTTCAAAGCTTCTGCTGGGATTCCATCTGGTCCCGGTGCTTTTCCAGCTTTTAGCATCTTGATTGCATTCAGGACTTCTGATTTCGTCGGGAGTTGATGTTCACTGGTAGTTCTGCTTCCGTTGTTGGTATTGTTGGGCGCGTTGTAGGTGGCGGACGATTTAGAAGTCTTTTGAAGTGTTCAGCCCAGTGTTTTCTTTGCTCCACCTCTTTGGTGATTGACTTTCCATTGTCGTCCTTTATTGGCTTAATCTGTGTCGAACTTTTGCCCGAAAGGTGCCTAGTTGTTTGGTAGAGTGTGGCGAGGTCTCCTTTGCCTGCAGCTTGTTCTGCTTCACTTGCCATGGTTTCATAATATTTTCTTTTGTCTTCCCTGGCACTCTTCTTCACTCTTTTGTTCAGTGTATTGTAGCTTGCATTCAGCTCCTGTTTTTGTTGCTCGTCAGTGCACTGGATAATCTTTTGTTTCACTGTCCTTCTCTCTTCTATTAGTTTCCAAGTGTCCGTAGTGAGCCACTGTTTGTCCTGTCTCTTCTTTCTGCCTAGGACTTCCATGCAGGTTTGACTCCACACCGTTTTCAAGTTGTTCCAGTGCTTTTCGACGCTGACCTTTCGCTGGTGTTGATTTGTGTCTCGGGTTTTCCCCTTATGCTTGCAATGAAGATGTCCTTTGTAGCCTGGTCCTTCAGCTTTTGAGTGTTGAACTTGGCTTGTGGTCTATCTGCAGCTCCTGATTCCCTGAAAGCTTTTAATTTGATTTGGATTGTCCCTTGTACGAGATAGTGGTCTGAGCCAACGTCTGCTCCTCTTCTTGCTTTTGTGTCCAGTAGGCTGCACCTCCACTTCCTTGAGCAGCATTGAGATGAAGTCAATTTGGTTTTTGGTTTGCCCGTCTGGTGACACCCATGTAGCCTTGTGGATATCTTTGTGCTTGTGTACACTACCACCAATCACTAGTTCGTTGAAGGCGCAGAAGTCGGCGGAGAGTTCTCCGTTTTCATTCATTTCTCCAAGAGCTTCTCTACCCATGATGAGTTCCCTTCCTGTGTTGTCTGGTCCCAGTTTGGCGTTCATGTCTCCCATTAGTATTTTAATGTCACCAGCTGAAGTATTGTCCATTGTTGGCTGTAGTTGTCTGTAGAATCCTTCTTTCTTTTCGAGGTCTGCGTTGTTTGTGGGTGCATAACATTGTATGATTGACACTTTCCTTCCTTTAGAGTTGAATCTGGTGGTCATTATCCTGGGCGAGATCATCTCCTATTGCATCAGGGCTTTCGTTTCCGTTGGTGACATCATGATAGCCACGCCACTGGGTGTAACACTTGTTTATTGATAATAGGTTTACAGAAGTTTCCAGATGGTGTAAATCAACAATTAAAAAATCTGATGAATATATGTAAAAACTCCTCTTGTTACCTTAAATCCCTCTAAATGCCACACAGTCAATTTCACCTTTAGGCATAAATCTAACCTAACAAAATAGAAACCACGTCGGTAATTAAATATCTTGGCGCCATTCTATCTGCTGATCTTT